GGGAGTGGAACGCCCGCGTCTACCGGGTCTCCCGGTCCGCCTCCTCGTTCCGCCCGCCCGCGCGGGAGACCCGCGAGCAGGCCTCTGCGCGCCTGGGGGGGGGGCGGGCGAGGACGGCGACGACGAGGAGGACGAAGAGAGGTTCACGAGGGGGGGGGGGGGCCCTACGAGGAGGAAGGTGCAGCGGAGGACGAGCAGGACGGGCAGGGCGAGGGGGAGGGTGCGGCCGCTCGAGACTTCCTCCAGATTCAAGCCTGAGGTGCCAAACAGTGACGTAATTTGAAGGCTTGGATGACCCTGCTCGGATTCCAATATGGAGGTGAGGAACTTTCAGGTAAGGCAGATGCAGGCCGCAGGAGCCCAATGACCAGCATGAAGTGCGGGCCCCAGAGGAAGCCCCCCTCCCCTCGCTGGAGACATCCTGACAATTTGCTCCTTGGGGTGCTCAAGTGTTATGCCTGGATCAGGCGGTCGGTGACACGTTAGGATTATCAACATGAAGTGCTGGCCCCACAGGGAGGAGGCTCCTGCCAGAGACTTCCTCGCAGTTCTCTCACAGACGAGGTCACTGCTTGAGACATCCTCGACCATTTGCCCCCTTGAGGTGCTCAACGTTAGAGTTTGCCGATGACCAGCTCGGATTACCAACATGAAGTACCGGCCACATAGGGCGGGGGCTCTTGCTTGAGACCTCTTCATAATCCACTCACAGGCAAGGCCTGTGCCTGATATATCCTCACGTTTTGCCCCCCCCCCCTCCCCCCCCTCCCCCCCCCCCCTCCCCCCCCCCCCTCCCCCCCCTCCTCCCTGGAGTGCTCAAGTGCTATGCCTGGTAGGATTTGTCAACGACCCGTTCGGATTGCCAGCATGAAGTGCGGGTCTATAGGGAGGAAGCTCACGCTTGAGATTTCCTCACGCTTCACTTACCGACGAGGCCCCCGCTTGAGGCATCCTCGCGATTTGCCCCCTTGGGTTGCTCAAGTGTTATGCCTGGTAGACTTTGCAGATGTTCCGTTCGGATTACCAACATGAAGTGCGGGCTCCCGCCCGAGAATTCCTCGCGCTTCCTCCACACACGAAACGCCGCTTGAGACATCCTATCGATTTGTCCCGTTGGGGTGCCCAAGTGTTATGCCTGGTAGGATGTGCCGTCGGATTACCAGCATGAGTTGTGGGCCCCATGGGGAGGGGGCTCCCGCCTGATACTTCCTCGCAGTTCTCTCACGAACAAGGCCCCTCCGCTCGAGACATCCTCACGATTTGCCCCTCGGTAGAGTTTGCCAATGATCCGCTCGGATTTCCAACATGGAGTGCGGGCCCCATTGGGGGGGGGGCTCCCGCCTGAGACCTCCTCGCAATTCACTCACAGACGATGCCCCCGCTTGAGACATCCTCAAGATTTGCCCCATGGGGTGCTCAAGTGTTATGCCTGGTAGAGTTTGCCGATGATCCGCTCGGATTACAAACATGAAGTGCGGGCCCCATAGGGAGGGGGCCTCCCGCCCGAGATATTTCTCAAGGCTAGTGCGTGAGTGTGTGAGTGTCTATGGTGTTGATGAGCGATGATGATGATGGTGGTGATGATGATGGTGGTGATGATGATGATGATGCTGGTGATGATGATGCTGATGATGATGCTGGTGATGATGAGTGGTGGTGATGAGTGAGTGTGTGAGCGTGAGTGGTGCATGATGATGGCGATGATCACGATTGTGATGATGACGTGTGTGCGTGTGGGTGTGCGTGTTCCCGCGTGAGCGGGGAACGATGGTGATGATGATGCTGATGATGATTATGATGACACGAATGATGACAGCAATATTGCTGCTGATTATGCTGATTATGATGATGATGATGCTGATGATGATGCTGATGGTGATGATGCTGCTGAGTATGATGGTGGTGGTGGTGGTGATGATGATTATGCTGCTGCTGATGATATTGAAGTTGTTCATGTTAATGCTGATGCTAATGCTGCTGCTGCTGCTGATGATGATGGTGATGATGATGCTGCTGCTGATGATGATGATGATGATGACAATGATGATGCTGATGATGATGGTGATGATGATTGTGTGTGTGTGTGGGTGAAGTAGAGAGATGGCGAGGCGGAGGAGGAGGAAGAGGAAGAGGAGGAGGAACAGATCCTGAGCGTGGGGTGTGCAGAGAAAGCAGGAACCCCACTAACCCCACTTTGGATGTGTGGAATTATGGACGCTGGGAAACAATACTGCGCGGCGCCCGAGCGGGATCTGAGCGCGGCGCCGAGGCGAAACCTGCATGTCGACCTTTCGTGCGAGATCTGCGCCGCGTCCCATTCCCGCCACGCATTCTGCAGCGTCGGTGACAGAACGCCCATGTTGAGACGACAATCATGAACATGTTGAGGAAATGTAGGGTATACAGGGTTTGGCACGGAATGGTAAGGTAAGATGAGGTGATGTAGGGTAGGATGGGGTAAGGTACGGTAGGTGAGGTGAGGAGTATGGGGTAAGGTAAGGTGCTGTATGGTAAGGTAACGTAAGGTAGGGTAGGGCCGGTTAAGATAAGGTAAGTTCGGTAGAGCAAGGTATGATGAGGTACGGTGAGGTACGGTAGTGTAGGACAGGGTCGGGTACGGTACGGTAGGGTCGGGTAAGGTAGGGTATGGTAGGGTATGGCAAGGTGAGCGAGGGTAGGGTGAGGTCGGGTAGGGCAGGATCGGGAAAGGTGCGGTAAAATAGGATAAGGTAAGGTAGGGTAGGGTCAGGTGAGGTATGTTACGGTCAGGGTATGTAAGGTAGGGTAGGGTAGGGTAAGTGAAGGTACGGTGGTGTGAGGTGAGGTGAGGTAAGGTAAGGTCAGGTATGGTAGGGTAGGGTAGGGTACGGTAAGGCAAGATAAGCTAAATCAGGGTATGGTAGGGTAACTTTGGGTGGCTATGGTAGCGTAAGGTAGTTAAAAAGGTATGGTAACAAGTATAGTACAGGATGCGATCACGAACGGTAAGGTCGGGTAGGGTAAGGTCAGGTAGGGTAGGGTCGGGTACGGTGGGGTAGGTAAGGCAAGGTAAGCCAAGGTAAGATCAGGTCAGGTAATGTACGGTAGGGTAGGGCAGTGGCGGGTAGGTTGCGGGAGGTGACTGGTAAGGTAGGGTGGGATAGGGTGCAGAAAAGTCAGGCAAGGTAAGGTAAGGTAAGGTAAGGTAAGGTAGGGGTAGTGTGTTGAGGTCTGGGGAGGGGAGGATCGATTTTCTGGTCCATGGGGAGAGATTCAAAACTCCCCTCCCCCGTTGGATTGGGGGCGGTGTCCAGAACGACGGATCGGGAAGAGTGGATGGGTGGGGGGGGGGCCAGGACGACGGAGCAGGAGTGAGGGGGAGATGAGGGGGCTCCCCGACCCCCCCCCCGGGGGGATCCAGCGGCGCACCCTCGGAGATGGAGGCGGGATGGGGGTGCGGACTCGACCCCGAGGGCTTCATCGGGAAGGCGGACCCGCTGGCCCTGAAGAAGGAGCCCGCGGGCTGGGGACGCCCGCCGTCCCATCCAGAGCCTGGGGTCCAGTCGCGTCCAGCACTCCTCGTCGTTCCTCCTCGCTCCTGCCCATCGTTCGTTGAAGGTTGGTCGCATACTTCCTGGACTGTTTTGCAGCCTCACTGCTCTGCGGTGACGGTGCTTCCGAGCGCAGCGGGGAACCAATGGGATGGACACCGTTGAGGGGCAGAGGGGGTGGGCTGCGGGGATGGGCACTGGGGATGGGCACTGGGGATGGGCACTGGGGATGGGCACTGGGGATGGACACTCGGGATGGACACTGGGGGTGGATATTGGGGATGGACATTGGGGACGGACATAGGGGACGGACACTGGGGATGGACACTCGGGATGGACACTGGGGATGGACGTTGGGGACGGACATAGGGGACGGACACTGGGGATGGACACGCGCACACGCACCGCAAGCGCACACCTTTCTCTTATCCGCAACTTCGGAAGACGCGTATTTTTGTATTCCCAGGTTCCAGTATGCTCTTGGCGCCTTCCTGTTCCAACAATTCCCCAAGCTGTGCTTGCACTTGGGGGTTCTCACTTGGCTTTCTGGAGCACTTGGTTGGGTCTTGTCGGGTTTTCGCCACGCTGCCGCCCGTGACGCCTCGTGGGCGCCCCGTGGACGCCCCGCGCTTGGGAGGCATGCCGGGTTTTGCCCCACGCTGCCGCCCGTGCCGCCTCGTGAGCGCCTCGTGGGCGCCCCGCGTTTGGGGGGCATGCCGTGTTTCTGCGCCACGCTGCCGCTCGGGGGCGCCTCGTGGGCGCCTCGTGGGCGCCTCGCGCTCTGAGCTTGCACGACATGGTTTCCACCGCATAACTTGCACCACATAGCCTGCACCGCAAATCTCACGGCCCATAGCTCACACATCCGGTTCGCATCGCCCAGCTTACACGGCAAGCTTGCACCACATAGCTTGCTCGGCATACTTGTCATTCACCTTATTTGGCCACCGATAGACTACCGCTGCTATTTGCGAAGAACAAGGACTGAGTATCCCGAACTTCACCTATTACATGCTACCTTCATTCTTACAGCCTACAAGGCAGCCGCAATGTATCATGTGATGTTACCGCGTTGCTGTCGAATGTATGCAGAGTGTACTCAGTGCCTAGTGGCATGGTGGCGGATCAGCCGTTCAGGGCAGGGTGATGATGCCTTTGCAGGGCGAACGTTCTCCAACAGTCCGTGTGGGATGACTACGACAGCCCAGCACGGTCCATGCCCATCCACTCCCACCCGCCAGGCACCAGGCGTGAAGAAGAGGGACGAGGGACATGGAAGCGGGGAAGGGGTGTCGCAATATATTGTTTCATTGACCGGGTACATATGTGTTCACCAGCGCATCAAAACCACCGCGATTATGATCAGCGATGGTGGTCGTCCTCGAGGTCGTCATCACCATGACCGCCGCCATTCGCGGTCACGATGTTGTCGCCACCAGCGCCGCGCTATCACTTCGCCATCGCCATTTCAGCGAGTTTTTTAGCAGCTTCGCCAGGGTCCAGAGTGCTTGTCGTACAATGGCGCTGGCAGCTTGCAGGTTGGCCGCGCGACCTATCCGCCGCACCAGCTGTTCCAAGGCTGCAGAGTTGGCGGGACGGGCTGCTGACAATTTTCTGGCACTGTTTCTCCCTACTTCTTGCCGACGTTTCCATGCAATGTTCCTTCTCTCACACCCAGGAGGGTCCTCCCCCACCACTTTTCTGGTACGCCAAGGGGCCACCAATGACACCTGCTGATGACGCATTCATGGCCCAACTAATGAGCCACACCTGGCCCCACTAATGACTATAATCGTTTAGTGGTTCTACGACTGTCTATAATCGGCTCAGGTGGTCCACGAATTGCCTACTGATGAGCATGACCCACTGGTGGCTCACTGAGGAGTATGGCCCGCTAGTGGCCCACTAGCTGCCCATCAATAGTGATTATGACCCGCAAGTGGCCCGCCAACGGCCCGCTGATGACCCACGAACGGCCCCGCCATGGCTTTCACATGATGCTGGCTGTCCGCGGCTTCGGCCTTCCTCAGGTGGGCCCTTCGTGCGTAATCAGGGAACGCGAGCGTTTGATTGGCCAGGCCCAAGGTTTAGGCGAGTCAGGCCCCCGGAGAAAAGTTTGGCGAAATCTGAAGCTCCTGGCTCTGCTTTTGGGACCTCTTTCTGCTTAGGTGCCCTTCGGCTCCACGGGCGATGCTTGCACTAATGGGTATCTTATCTTTTTGCGAGAGGGCTCGGACATGTGTTTGCTGCGATTTCGCGCTCCTTCTCTTGTGCCACACGGGCAGTGCTCTCTGGCTGGTGCTCTATGATGGGTCGTGTGCTGCGATTTCTCGTTCCAGCCCTGGTGCTGTGGGTCGTGCTCTATGTCTGGTCGCAGCCGGGCCCCGAGGCCGTCAAGAGACAATTCTTGACGGAACGCCGGTCCATGGGAATGGGTCCAGACATGTCTGGTCCTCTTGGGAGTCCCGCTGAGAGACATTACACCTTGGTGGCAGGGTACCGTCGGGGGGAGGAGAGATAGAGCGAGAGGGAGCGAGTGCGAGAGAGAGAGAGAGGGGCAGAAACGGGGAGCGCATGATGCCGACAGCACATGCGGGAGAGCATGCGGGACATCAGACTGGAGAGCACGCGCGCTGCCGTACGGAGTACCATGCGGGAAACCATACGGGAGACCATATCTGCGAGGCGGGAATTTATCCATAACCAGCGCCTGGAGGGTCAGTTTTCGGAGCCTCGGCAGGCGGTGGATATGGACATATTCGGGCCCCGGGGGGCCGAGATATATCCATGTCCACCGCCCGCTGGGGCACCAGGACGTCGGTTCCCAGGCGGTGGGTATGGATAAATCCCCGCCTCGTAATATGGGATACCGTCCGGGAGACCACAGCCAGACCACGCGGTGGACCATGTGGGACACCTTACGGGAGATCCTGCGGGATTGCACACACATGCGGGACGCCGTGCGGAAGGCCCTCTGGGAGACCACACGACCACACGGGAGACCATGCGGGACACCATACGCGTTGTCTTGGCTGGAGGCCACACGGGAGACCGTGCGGGAGGCCACACGGGAGGCCACAGACCCCCCGATGCAGGGAGGCCGGCCACGGACCCCCCGGCCCTTCGCACGACCAAGGTATGGAACCCCTGCAGACAAGCTGTTTAGGGACTCCCCTGTCGGTTCCCCCCCCCCGGCACATCGCCGTCCTCCTCGCCGCCCTCGTCCCCGCATCCCTGGCCTCCCGAACCAACAAGACCCTTGGCATCGCTCGGACGTATGTATTTTTTTCTCGGCGAGGACCTTCGAGGAGCATCCTCGACCATTTGGCGAAAAAACCACGCACGAAAACGAAAAAAACACAGGGAATGGACGTCCGAGCGATGGCGAGGATCGGGTCGGCTGGCCTTCGGAGCTTGGGCCTCTGCCAGAGGCCCACGGGGCCAGTGAGAGGCGGCTCGTGGGCACGGTGCGACAGAGCCCCGCGCACGCAAGAGGTCAGGACGCTGGGGGTCTGGGCCCTTGTCCTCCTGCTCCTCCTGCCCAGGCGTGTTCTTGTTTCTGTTTTTGTTTTGTTGTTTTTTTTTGTTGCTTTTTTGCAGGTAACGTGCTCCTCCTGAGGCTCGCACCCGGTTTTCCACCCCTCCTCAGATGGGGCCCCCAGCCCCGAGCCGTAACAACAGCGGCTCCCGCCCGAGTTAGTTCCTGACAGCTCATTTCAAAAGCGCGCTCCCGCGCGGGACTTCCTCGCAAGTGATGCAGGAATCGCGCCGTCGTGTGGGACTTCCTCGCAATTTATTCAGGCGCCGCGCCCTCGACGCTCAGGAATCGCGCTCCCGCTCTGGCTTTTCTTCCGATTTACTTGGGAATCGCGTTATCGCTCGAGACGTTCTCGCGATTCATGCAGGACCCGCGCTTCGGCGACCCGCCTGCTCGACCCTGCCGCCTGGGCCCGCCTCCCCGATCCGCTCGTTAGAGTCTACCCGCCCGATCAGCCCGTCTGGTTCTGCCACATGTTTTCTGCTCCTAGCCCCCGCCTGCTAATCTCTCTCGTGCTCCATCCTTCTCCCTCCCCCTTCCATCCGTCCCCTCTTCGCTTGTTTTAGGGCTGCACCAATTATATGTGGCAGGTATGGAAGGTACACCCCCAATGGGGGTACGATCGAAGACGATGAGGGCGGGTATCGAGGGTTATACGTGTTGAATGGCACGTCCAGGTAATCTCGAACAGTCTTACCATGTTTGTGGTTACTGTTGCTGTTGTTGTTATTGCTGCTGTTGGTATTGTCATTGTTGTGACTGTTGTTGCTCTTGCTGTTGTGGTTGCTGCGTGCTGCGGTTGTTGTGGTTGGTATTGTTGTTGGTGGTGGTGCTGTTGTTATTGCTGCTGCTGCTGCTGCTTTTTGTTGCTGGTGTGACTGTTGGTGTTGCTGTTGATGTTGTCGTCGTTGCTGTTGACGTTGCTGTTGTTGTCGCTGCTGCTGTCGCTTATTCTGCTGCTGCTGTTGTTATTGGTGGTGTTGTTGTCAGTATTGCTGTTGCTGCTGTTGTTGATGATGTTGTTGTTGGCTGTTGCTGTTCGTATCGTTGTTGTTGTTGCTGATGCTGCTGCTGTTGCTACTGCTGTTGTTGTCGCTGTTGTTGCTACTGTTGTTGATGTTACCGTTGCTGTTGTGAGTGTTGTTATTTTTGTTGTTCCTGTTGTCGTCGTTGTTGTTGTGGTTGCTGTTATTGTTTTTGTTGGTTTGTCGTCGTCGTCGTCGTCGTCGTCGTCGTCGTCGTTGTTGTTGTTGTTGTTGTTGTTGTTGTTGTTGTTGTTGTTGTTGTTGTTGTTGTCGTTGTTGTTGTTGTTGTTGTTGTTGTTGTTGTTGTTGTTGTCGTCGTCGTCGTCGTCGTCGTCGTCGTCGTCGTCGTTTCCGTCGTCGTCGTCGTCGTTGTTGTTTTTGTTGTTGTTGTTGTTGTTGTTGTTGTTGTTGCTGTTGTTGTTGTTGCTGTTGTTGTTGTAGTTGTTGTTGTTGTTGTTGTTGTTGTTGTTGTTGTTGTTGTTGTTGTTGTTGTTGTTGTTGTTGTTGTTGATGATGTTGTTGTTGTTGCGAGGACACTATTGGAGGCCCGTTGCTCGACCCCCCCCCCCGAGCAACGCCACGGGGCCACGCACGGGCCCCGCAGGGCCCTTGGTCCGAGCAACGCCACGAGGCCTCGCCAGGCCGCTGCGGGGGTCTGCAGGGCCCGGCGGCGTTGCTTGGAAGGTCCTTTCGGGGCTGCTGCGGAGTCCCACGCAGGCCACAAAGGGCGCACCCCTCTCACGGATCGTGGCCCTGGCCCCACAGGGAGCTCCACCGAGGTTTGATTTCGGCGCGCCCATTTCGAGGATCGCGGCTCAGGGAGCTCCACCGAAATTTGATTTCGGCGCACCCCTTTCAAGGATTCCGTGGGAATTCTTTTTGAATGTTAGAGGAATCCTACAACATCCTACAGGATTCAATAGGTCTCCTATAGGAATTCCACGGGATCCCTACAGGTCCTACAGGATTCCATAGGAACCCTATAGGAATCCTGTTGGAATCCTATAGGATCCCTGCAGGGTCCTACAGGAGCCCATAGGAAACCAATTGGAATCCTGTAGGAATCCTATAGGATCACTACGGGGTCCTACAGGATTCCATGATAATCCGATTGGAATCCTTGAGAAACCTTTCTAGGATCCCTGCAGGGTCCTACAGGATTCCATCGGAAATCAATTGGAATCCTGTAGGAATCCGATAGGATCCCTACAGGGTCCTAGAGGATTCCATCGGAATCCTATTGGAATCCGATGGGAAATCCCATAGAGTCCCTGCAGGGTCCTACAAGATTCGATAGGAACCCTATAGGAATCCGATTGGAAATCCTATAGGGTCCCTACAGGGTCCTACAGGATTCCATAGGAATCCTATTGTAATACGATTGGAATACGATGGGATCCCTACAGTGTCCTACAGGATTCCATAGGAATCCGATTGGAATCTTATTGGAAACCCATCGGGTCCCTACAGGGTCCTACAGGATTCCATAGGAACCCTATTAGAATCTCATTGCAGTCCCATAAGGTCCCTACAAGGTCCTACAGGATTCCATCGGAATTCCATTGGGATCTCATGGGGCTCCTATTGGAATCCTATAGCATCCCTACAGGGTCCTACAGGATTCCATAGGATTCCAATCGGAATCCTATTGGGGTCCTATAGGATCCCTACAGGGTCCTACAGGATTCCATAGGATCCCAATAGGAATCCTATTGGGATCCTTTTGGATCCCTATAGGATCCCTTCAGTGTCCTAAAGGATTCTATAGGACAGCTATAGGAATCCGATTGTAATACTATTGGAATCCTATGGGATCCCTACAGGGTCCTACAGGGTCCTACAGGATGCCGTAGGGATCCTGTAGGGATCCTATAGGATCCCTACAGGATTTCATCGCAACCCTATAGGCATCCGAGGGGGGCCGTATAGGATCCCTGCAGGGTGCTACAGGATTCCACAGGAACCCTATAGGAATCCTATAGGATCCTTACAGGGTCCTGCAGGGTTCCATAGGAGTCCTATAGGGA